CCTGCTCGCTCTGGACACACCTGTTGCCGCCCCGTAGTGCCCCGGCAACATGACCGGTGACCGATCCACGCCACCGCCGTGCTTCACTTGATCCTGGATGCCGGGTCGTTTGTAGCTGGCTGCGGCCACCCCGGACCCAGTCTGCCGGAGGTCTGTCTTAGACCGATCCTGGCGGAGCCGTGCTCTCTCACGTTCTTCTGGGTCCTCAATATTCCACCATGGCTTTTCACGGTCTTTGGAGAACCTTCTACCCCAGTACTCGTCAACTTCAGCATCGAGTTTCGCTCTTTCTTCATCAGTGTACTTCTTTATGCCAGACGACACCCATGCGTCCGGACGTTTACGCTCGGGAGGTTTATATTCGGTCTGTGCCCTGAACTGTCCTGCCGTCGGTGTGGTCTGGGCGCTTGAAGGTCTTGCCGCAGCCGACTCCTTCTGAGGAGGCCTTGGCGTATCGGCGGAGTCATTGGCCGGTTGTGTACTCTTCATAGACGCCGGTCTGGTCTGGACTCCTTTGGGCTCCTCTGTACGTCTTGCTGACAGGGCAGTTGTCCCCACCACGGGAGTTTCCCGCTTAACAGCCGTAACCTGAATCGGTATCGATTGCGGAATTTTCGTGGGTGGGTGCGCGGTCTGCTTGCCTGCTGTCTGCATGTCTGCTCGTTTTGCTGACAGTGAAGTTGTCCCCATCACTGGGGTTTTCCGCCGAACAGCCGTAACTTGAATCGGTTGCGGAATTTTCGTGGGTGGGTGCGCGGCTTGCTTATCTTCTGTCTGCATGTCTGGTCGTTTTGCTGACAGGGTTTTCCGCTTAACATCCGAATCTTTAATCGGTTGCGGAATTTTCGTGGGTGGGTGCGCGGCTTGCTTGTCTTCTGTCTGCATGTCGGTGCGTTTTGCTGACAGTGCAGTTGTGCCCATCACTGGAACTTTCCGCTGGACATCCGTTTCTTTTATCGGTTGCGGAATTTTCGTCGGAGGGTGCGCGGCTTGTTTGACAGACGTCTTGTCTGTTGACCTTACCTCGGTCCGTTTTGCGGACAGTGCAGTTGTCCACATTATGGGATCTTTCCGCTTAACAGCAGTATCTTTGGTCGGTTGCGGAATTTTCGTGGGCATCAATTTTGCTGTTTGGTCTCCGGTTTGTCCAGCTTTCGGCGCTTTTGCTCCTTTCTGTGTGCTCTTTGCCCCGGCATCTTTAGATGCAGTAGAAGGCTTCTTAGCATCATTGGGCGGTGTGGCCTTTGTCTTGGGACTATCCCTTTCATTGTCGTCGCCAACAAGGGCTTCCCAAACTTTCTGGGAGTACTCTTTTTGAGTCTTCTCCCTTTTGCCTCCCTTCACAGTGCCCTTCTGTGTTTGAGCTGCAGGCTCAGCCGAGCCCTTTACTGACTGCTTGTCAGCTTTTGCAGCTGTGGATTCAGGCGGACTTGTACCATCCGTTGTCCGCGTGTCCACGTTTTCCGGCGGAGGTCGACCCTGGCGTGCGGACGACTGTGCCGCTCCTGACACCGACACCGACACC